CCACTCTCAAGTTAATGGCATCAGATTTCTTCAAACTTCCAAGAATACCAAATCTCTTAACACAAAATGCAGGCAGGATTTGCCACCCAGACATGGACTCCGTACACCTTGCAGCATGGCAGATTCTCCCATGATTAAAGAAGTATTAGAGAAAGCCAGGAAACCATCTACAAAGCTTCTATATAAATATAAATGGAATAGTTCCCTAAAATTTACAAGATCATGGAACTTATGCCCTGTACCCGTGTCAATTGATACTCTTCTGTCATACTTACGTTACCTTTTTGACCAAAATTTGGTGGTTTCTACCCTCAATGTCTACATCTCAGCCATAATTTCTTACCAGCCTTTAGTTTGTTTTCACACCCAACTTTAAAGATGTTCTTAAAAGGCTTACATCATATTCATCCGCCTACTTGTCCTCCTCCTCATCAGTGGTCATTGAGTGTTGTATTGCATGCTCTCTCACAGTCACCATTCGAACCTATGGCTTCATCTGATCTAAGGCTCTTAACATCCAAGACTTTATTTTTAGTTGCAATTACCTCTGCTCGACAAGCTAGTGAACTCACTGCACTTCGAGTTGACACTCCTTACCTTCAATTTATCTGGACAGAGTGATTCTGTACCCAGATTTCTCGTTTCTCCCTAAAGTTGTCTTTTCATGTTAATCAACCGTTAGTTCTTTCAGCGTTATTCCCTAATCCTTCTTCAGATATTGAACACATGCTTCATTCCTTAGATGTCCGGTGCACGTTGGCTTTCTGTACATCTTGGACTAAGGACTTCCGTAATTCATCCAGATTGTTTCTTTGTTTCCAAGGCCCTAACAAAGATTCTGCTGTGACTTCACAAACAATTTCACAGTGGATCACTTCTACAATCAGTCTGGCGTACGAACTATTGGACAAGACTCCACCAGGTGCTCTTAAGGCACATTCCACTAAATCTGTGGCATCTTCAATGGCCTTAATGAGAGGCATTGATGTCTCAGACATCTGCAGAACAGCTACGTGGTCTACTTCTTCCACCTTTGTAACACATTATCGCCTAACTTTAGGGCCAAAAAGGAAGCTAAGTTTGGAAGAACTGTCCTTACTTTAGTGCTGGAGTGACGGCCCACCTTCCTGTAAGTGAGCTTGTCAGTCACCCAGTTGTGTGGATTCACAGAGGCCACGTAGAAGAAAGAGTGGTTACTTACCTGTAACTATGGTTCTTCTAGTGGTCCTCTGTAAATCCACACATCTCGCCTGGCCTCCCCACTATCCGTCACCTGTTGTTTTCGCTCTAGAGTGCTTATGACGGCGGACAGTGGAACTGAGGCTATAGGCGGGTGGAGCATGCACATCAGGGCAACATACTACTATGTTTCTTTCATTTCAGCTCTAGAATATTCTGAGGAATATTCTAGTTTATACCCAGTTGTGTGGATTCACAGAGGACCACTAGAAGAACCATAGTTACGGGTAAGTAACTACACTATTTTGCATCATGTTGGTGTTTCTGGAGTGGAAGGATCAGTTGACATTGCCCAGGGGATGTCCAGATATGTTCCCATTCTTTGAAGAAGTTCTTTCTGTGTCTCTCAAACAGTAGATGAGGAGGGGAGAAAACTGATGGAAGTAAGGTTCCTATCCTTCACATACTTATGTGGGAGTGTGCCTATTTAGCCATCATGTGAGAGAGCCCTGTTTACCTGCTTGTTTTCTTACATCTGCACTGCTGTGAAAGCTTGGAATAGTGCATTTTGGTCTATAGGTCTACAGGGTGGCGGCGCGGTGCCTCAGTCTCCCTGCCCAGGCTGGAGTTGCAAGTGGAGAGAGATTAACATTACTTGTGGATAATGGGAATTCCAAGTTGCTTTTAGGCACTGAGAAAACTGATTTTCCTATAAGCAGGAGCCTCTAGAGAGCCAGCGCACAGCACAGCTGATGGGCGGGGTTTTGCAAAGATCGCGGGGAAGCCAGCTTCGCAAACCCCCGCCGACCAGTTGTACTTCGGCGCTCTCTCTCTCCTCTTGCAGGTCCAGCCTGGGCAGGGAGACTAAGGCACCACGCTGTGGCTTTTGTGATCGCAAAAACTCCATCGCTATGCGGATTCATTGTTAAACGGGGCGTCGTTAAGCAAGGCACCACTGTATTTGGTTCAGAGGCTTTGAGTTACATAAGTATCCTTCCCTGTGTATGAAAGATACCTGCTGCTACTATAGCAAGGGACAAGGTCTTCCATTGTTTTCTAGAATTAGAGACACAGAACAGGCCTAGTGTGGTATTCTATCGTGTTCACATCTGTATTCTTTTAGTAGTGTGGCTGATCCATCAGTCTTCTCGCTTATGCAATTTCTGTCTTCCATCAACACCTGACAGGGATGTTGTGTATTCTGCTTGCATTTAAATCTATTTTTAATATTATGATGGTAGGCGGATTATTTCTGGATGCTCACTTTCAAAGTAGCCATTTTGGTTGCTATTGTATATGTTAGGAGAGCCTAGTGAACTCTGGTTTCTTCATTCCAGTCTTTCCTGTATTATTCCGGTTAGGGTTGTAAGCAGCCCCGTATCTCCAAAGAGATTTATGGGGGTGTCGGAAATTGGGACGAGTACGAAAACCAGACAAACCTCTAACTGCTGAGCAGAGCCAATTGAATCCCAGCCAGGTTCTGTCTAAATTTTCTTACTCAGAGGCCAATCTCCTTATTAAGAAAGCAACACAGACATAACCATGAGATATACTCAGAATGATTTGGCTCTGAAAGTTTGGTAGCAAACCCACGTGGCCAATTAGACATTCAGCTAGTCTGCTCAAGAAACAATGCTTCTAGATAGAAATCAATCATTACTGTTTTATTAAAAAGAATTACTTTAGAAAAGGTTTCAGTTGATAGTAAAATAGTTCAGTAGGTACATTTTCATTCAAGACTAACGGAACACTCCACTCCCCCCACTCCAGCTAAAAAAATAAAGAAATGAAACTATGCTAACTAACAAAAAGCATAAATAATCCATCTCACGTGTCTTGGGTCTTCAAAGGCTGATGCTAGATGAAAACCAGTCCATTATGGGAAAAGCACGTGTCTGCCCCTTTCTCAGGCAAACTCCATCTTTCTTCTCTCACCCTCTTCCTCCTTCTTCCCAGAATGCCTCCTGGGTCTTGTTGTCCCGCCTAACTTTCTCAGGGAGCTTCAAGAAACAACAGACTTTAAATCAAAATGGATGCTATTGGGACAATCTTAGTACTACATATCCCATTCTAATACACATAAAAACACAAATCATCACAAGGGTGTTCAGGCTGCACATGTTCTGTACATGGAAGGTAGTATGTGGTCTGCCACAGCCAGGGCATTCATTGCCTTCCTCTTGTTCTGCCTGAGCCCTGTGAGTCTCAAACCTTTGCTTGAGGCAATGTGCTAGAGGCCCATCCTGCTTTAGACTTATTATGTTGACAGAATATTTTTGTATTTTGATTTTATTCAAGGGTCCTTGGAAAGGACAGCTCGTGTCAAATCAGCGTTTTGCACTTTGGGCCTCCCTGTCTACAGTTATCTCAGGAGAATCTTGATTTCTTAGCTCTTTTGAGCTGCTGTCCTGTCACAGCTGTCAGTAGTTTGATGTGTGGTATGAAGTACATACGTTTTTCAGATTGGCTGTGGTAAGCTCAGTGTTTTACCAATGCTATTTGCACCATTTCTGAGTATGCTAGCTTGGTGTTTCACTGTATGTAGGACTGTTTAGAAACCTTGTAGAAGAAAAACAGGTGGTGTTGAATTCCTCTTGTAAAATTCTTCCTTAAAGCAGCAGCAGCAGCCGTGACAGCATCAGGAACTGAGCAGATGGGAGGGCGTTCTGGGCTTTGCTAGGCACAAGTACTGAGCCCGATTGTTACACAACACACATCGTCGTTTGAAGAACCACACTTTGTATACAGAAGGTTTTGGATTCTTTTAGCTTCTGCAGCTAAAGGACGAAGTACAGTGGACCCTTGACTTACAGACGGCTTGACTTACAGACTTTTTGAGTTACAGACTTCTCTGGCTGCAAAATTTAGGTTTGACTTGCAGACTGAGATTTGACTTACAGACCAGAAAAAAACCAAAATGGAACAAAAACGGCCTGTTACGGGATTAATCGGTTTTCAATGCACTGTAGGTCAATGGAGACTTGACTTACAGACTTTTTGACTTGAGGGGGGTATTTTTGCAATTTTTAATTCTATTTTACTTCTGCCTATAAGTAAGGAAGCTGGTAATCACTAGAGTAGTCTTTATTGCTAATTGGCAGAGATAAGTAAGGTTACAATTTTGTTTTCTTGTAGCAAACTGGGGAATGTGGCTAAAATCATGTTTTGCTTTCCTTTTAACAAGGTCTGTAGATTTGGATTAAATGGCAAGTTTACACAATTACTATAAGAAACTAATAGTTGATCTGTAGTAGTTTGGGCAAATGATCCAAACAATCTCTGTTAAAATACACACAGAATAACAAATTCTAACTCTATTCTTCCCCTTAAAGGAAAAGGTGATCCTGCATATTTCTATGGTCTGCGTGTCACTGGTCTGAGAAGTTTTCAATGTGCAGTGGAAAGGATGAATGATGCCAGTAGCTTTGCTTCTTCTAGCAGAACTTCTAGGTGACTTTAAATAATATAGTAACAAGGATTTCCAACTGCTGGTTGCCTAACATTGGCAGTCACAAAAACAAAAACAAAAACCACCACTTCCCCAAATTACCTTCTAGAATGAAGAAATAAATAAACAGAAATATATATTTCTGTGTGGAAGGACCTTGAGTTCCATTCAGTTCCATTCTCAACTCAGTTCCTGGGCTTATACCCTTTTCATTCTATGTGTATGCCTATTATAACAGACTTTCGAATGTGAATCTCAAACTTGCAAATAAAAAACAAAGTAAATTCCACCAACCTGAAGTCTTTTCATTCTGGCTGTATAGTAACATAAATCAAATGTAGAAGATATTTTTCATGTGTTTTTTTAATTTCAGATAACAGAAAAGAAAGGAAGGGAAGGAAAATCTGCCTTTGGAGGCCCAGTTGTCAGCTCACTGTATCAAGAAGAAACCATCAGGTGAATTTTGGTCATACTTTAATGGCTTATTTTTTTAATTTAGCTTTTATTTAAAATATCAACACGTATGGTAGTGCCTCTCCAACTAGATAATAAATGACAGGAAAGGACTTTCTAGGCTTATAATTGTTTAAATCAATACAGTAGTTGTCTGTATTGCTGCCAGGTACTAATTTTCCCCTTGTGTAGAATGTTTGAGAGATGGTATGTTTGTTGGCTTGTTAAATATGGTTGATTTTCTTTCTGATCTAACACATAGAATTGCGCTATAATCCTTTCTTGAGAAAGGATATATTAATGTTATATGAACATTACGAGTAAAGATGCTGTTCTGAAACATTAGAACTTACAGAGCAAAAGTAAGGTTGCTAATTGAGGTCAGCTTCTGAAATAGAAAGATGAGACAAAATTAAACTGGAAGATCTATGGTGTGACTGTGTTGAAGCTTTGGTTAAATAAAGAAACTCAGAAAATGGAAAATGAAAGAGGTCTTACAGAAGTGTCATTGTTACTGCAAACACATGGGTTGTTTTCCCATTCAGTCACTAGTATAACTGTGAGCTAACTGAAGCAAGATAAGTTGTTGTTTAGTTGTGTCCGACTCTTCGTGACCCCATGGACCAGGCCCCCCGTCTTCCACTGCCTCCCAGAGTTGGGTCAAATTCATGTTGGTGAAGCACCGAACAGCTGAGAGGTGACAACCCTCTCAGGGTTTATTATTAATAAAATGCCCCCCTCCACCTGCCTCTCAGCTGGTTGCTGCCTCTCAGCTGTTCGGCGCTCTGCTCACACACACCCCTTAGGAGGAAACAGCGCCAGGATCCAACAGAACAGCTCCTTCCGCCTGCTCCTAAGAGGTGTGTGTGAAAGCTCCAGGATCCAATAGAACAGCTGAGAGGCAGGCAGAGGGGCTGTTCTGTTGGGTCCTGGCACTGTTTCCTCCTAAGGGGTGTGTGTGAGCAGAGTGCCGAACAGCTGAGAGGCGGCAACCAGCGGAGATGACCACGGCATGGCTGCCGCCTCTCAGCTGGTTGCCACCTCTCAGCTGTTCAACGCTGTGCTCACACACATTCCTTAGGAGGAAAAAGCGCCAGGATCCAATAGAACAGCCAGACTCAAACATCCAGGGGAGAAGCCCTGTGCACAGCAAAGAGGCTGAGGCAGAGGAATGCGGTGGGCAGAGGGGGCGGCGGCGTTCCAGGCTCTTGTTACAGATGCTCCTTGGTCTCCGGGGCAACCTGGTAAGTGCATTTTTTCGCCCATAGGAACGCATTAATTAAATTTCAATACATTCCTATGGGAAAAAACGTTAATTAAATTTCAATCATTCCTATGGGAAAAATGCCTCGAAAGACGAAAATTTTGCAAGATGCCACAACTCGCGTCTTGCGAGGCATCACTGTAGATATAGCTCTGCAGGAAAATGTAGAGTAGTCCCATGCTGGAGAATATGGAGAATCCCTGCTCTCAATTTCAACCAAACCTCCTTAAGAGGCTGAGCGCTTTTGCTTTCAGTTTTATTTTTGCTGGAGACATGCAAAAGAAAGGCATTTAAAATCAAGCTTCATGACCCCACAGGCACGCAGGTAATAAAGCAACCAAAGTCTGAGGGTATATTTATTTTGTGTTTGTATGCATTGTTATGTAGAAAGTGCCTAGTTTAAATTTTAATTTAAGTTTAAACATAAATTGCAAGGCTATAGTCTGGTCATAGTGACATGAAAATTTTGACTGACTGGTGAGACATTCTAAAATTTTTCAAGCCTTGTACATTGCTTTGGTTTTCTGCTTTTTGGAGTAGTTTTAAAATGTTATTTAGGATTTTGGATTGCTTTTCTTTATTATCTTGCCTAACAGTGCTAGTTACTTGATAGTGCTAATAATCGGTGGCCCAGCTGAATAATGTTCAGTCTGGGGATGTAAAGCAGGGGTAGTGACCAGATATCCTCTGGCCTGGGTAAAGTCCTAGTCCAGATTGTCTCTACAGTGGTGCCTCGCTTAGCGATGTTAATCTGTGCAGAAAAAATTGCTGCTAAGCGATAACATCGCTAAGTGAAAATAAAAAGCCCATAGAAACGCATTAAAATGCGATTAATGCATTCCTATGGGCTAAAAACTCACCTTTAAGCAAAGATCCTCCATAGCACCACCATTTTCGGTGCCTCTAAAACAAGGTATCCGTGCCTGAAAACAGCGGGTGGCGATTTTGTTTACCAGGTGGCCATTTTGAAACTGCCGATCAGCTGGCCGAAAATGGCGGCTTTGCGATGATCGCTTCCCTGCGATCATCGCAAAGCGAATTTCCCCCATAGGGACCATTGCAAAGTGATCGCTTTTGCGATGGCAAAAAGTCCATCGCAAAGCAATTTCGTCGCTATATGGAGCAATCACTATGCGAGGCACCACTGTATTTGTTTCACTCTTGCCCATTCCAGGTCTGTCCTGCTGCCAATATTCTACTTGCTTATGAGGTAGATTAGTGTTTCCCAACCTGAGGGTTTTGTGATTCTTAAGGGGGGTTGCAAAGTGTTTTCTGGGTGTGTGTGTCGTCATGAGTTGTTTTGTATGTGTTGTAGCCCATTTCTTCCTTGACCTTTTGGAGCCAGATATTAAAGTTAGCATGTATGAGAAATAGGTCTTTGTGAGAGAAAGAAGTCTCTACTTTCTGAGAAGGGAAGACTTCACCCAATTTTTATGCAAACATGGCAGGTTGGGTTGCAGGTTACTTAGCTATTTTGAGAGGGGGTTTGGAAAAGTTTGGGAACCACATAGGTAGATAATGGCTTGTTCTTGTTTTCGTATGAACTTTTCTTGCTTTGTATGAGTGGCTAAAATGACCATTTGGCTATAGTACAGATCTCGCTGTTTGTGTTTCTTGTCCTGCTGCTCCAGATGCATGTATTTTCAGCAGGCTTTTCTACCATTCAGTCATAACTTCATCCAACCTCATTTGGGCTGCTTTCTCTGAGCTTCAGGACAGTTGGAAGGAAAAGCAACTCCAGAGTTTGATATGAGGGACCCGTTTCTAAAGAAGGGAATGCTGCATTGTTTTTTAGAAGGGAAGCAACTTAGACATTTTCATAGGAGAAAGTAGCCTTTAAGTGCTGGGTGGCTTCTGATTGTTGAATTTGATCCTGTTTATATTATTGTTTATGTCTGCTTTCTGTGGTTCATTTTATTTATTTCGAAAAATAGTTACATATATTGTGGGTTACGTATATTGTGAATTAAATTATAACCATAAATATTGAGATAGTCAGCAAATTCAAAACATTTTAGTTAATCAGTATTAATTACTTATTCATAAAAGTAAAATTGTGCACTACCAAAATTTCAGTATAAGCATGTCTGTTTTTTATGTATTAAACAAACTTGAAATATAAGTATCAAAACCTGCTATTCATTCTTTTTGTTTTTGAGAACATTTTATTGACTGTTTATTCTACTTTAAAGGATTATGCCAGATCCAAAAAATTTTTTTACTTCTGTTTCCTCACTTTTAAATATGATGTTAAAAATGCATGATGAAAATTTATTGTTTGTTACTATTATTTATGTCCTGTCTTTCAAGATACAAATGCTTTCAGCCTAGCTTTCATGTAACAAAAAAAATTATGAATAAGATTACCAAAAAACCCACAACAAAACAGTATTAATGGGCTGAATCCAATTGGTGGTGCCAAAGAATGTAGACCCGTTGAATCAATAAGGTTTGCACAAATGTTGAGTAACTAAGCAGCAGTCGATTCATTGGCTAAATTCCAGTAGTAGGTTGCAAGTAGGGATGGGCACAAACAGTTGGTTTGTCCTTCAGACCAGCAAGTGTTCATTTCCCAGGTCGCCCCCCTGTGGCGGGACAAGGAAGCTAGATTGCTGCTTCTGAGTGGGCACCTGTCAGAGGAGGTGGGACTAGGAACAGCTGAACAACTGTTCGTCCAAAAGATGAACTGCTGAACTGGTGGTTTGTGCCCATCTCTAGTTGCAAGTAGAGTAGATCCATTGAATCAGTGGGAATTTGGTGAGTCAACATATATGTAAGTTACAGTTATGACTTGCTACTGGATTTCAGCCAGTGGGACTGTTTGGGGTGAGACTAATACAGTGGTACCTCAACTTAATGAAATTAATCCTTATTGGAATGGTGGTCATAAATTGAAATGTTCGTAAATCGAAGCACCATTTGCCATAGGAATACATTGAAAACCGATTAATCCATTCTGGCCGAAGGAAAAAAATACCCCCCAAAATAAAACACTGCAAGCACCTGGGCCTGCAAAAAACAAAAAACAAAACAAAATACATACAAAAACAAACATAAACATAAGCCCACCAACCCAATCCCATCTGCAAAAGTAACAAAAACAGTTTTAAAAAAGCAAAAAGCAGCACCTTACCTCCACTGCTGCGACCGCCGCTGCCAGGAGGCTTCCCGGTCATGGCTCCAGCCGCCATTGCAGGGCCTGACGTCCACCACCGCTGCCGGGCCAGGGCTCCAGCCACCTCTGCGGAGGCTTCCTGGACTTCCAAAGCCGCCGCACCCGGTGCTGGCTTCCCATGCTTCCAAAGCACTGGCACCCAGCGCGGCGGTCAGCGCTTTGGAAGCACGGGAAGCCAAAAAACCACCCCGATCTCTGGCTTTCCGTGCTTCCAAAGCTACCTCAACCACCGTGCCGGGTGCTGGCTTCTCACGCTTCAAGACAGAAATGCCGATGGTCAGTCCCCAACCGCTAAGATTTGGGTTTGGGGAACAAATGTGACGTAGAAAAAGCTGAGGGGGAGGATTGAGAGAGAGAGAGAGAGAGGGAGAGAGAGAGAGGGAGAGAACTGGTCATCTCTCTGAAACTGTGGGCTACTTGGTGGAGTCTCAGTTCTCCACTTCCCGCCATGCTCCCACACTTAAATTGAGATGACACCAGCTGGCAGGCGGAGAAAAGCCCGCACTGGGGGGGGCGAAAGGAGGAGGTGGGTGCTGGCTTCCTGCACCTCCAAAGCCGCTTTGA